CCTGGATGAAATGGCACTTTTCTTGCTGTATCTTAAGGGAATATCATTACCCTCACAGTGATCAGGTGGACAGTTGAGCTTTTCTAGAAGATGCCCTGGAAACTGTCAACAGTATTAAGGATTAAAAAAAAAAAAAATCCAGAAGTGCTTATTTTAAAGTTAACTGCAATTCCCTTGTTTTTAGCTTTGATTATTGTCCGCATCAAATTTGGTCTCCTTGTGTATGTGTGTGTTTATCTGTATCTATCTATCTGTCTGTCTGTCTATCCATCCATCCTTCCATCTGTACCACGGTCTGACTGAGTGCAAAGGTCTGTGCTGCAAACTTCATTCCTTCCCTGTGACAGTAACCATATGACAGGGGTTTCTTTGCTACATTGCAGGGTGAATTCCTTTCTATCTAGATGTTCTAGTTGCAGAATGTTAACACACTGACTGTGATTCTTACCCAATTTTCCAATCCTGTATGTGTTTTTCTTTCCACTGGCTTTTTGTTTAGGTTAATTATGTCACAGATCTGATTAAGAAGCAACGTGAATTTCCCTGAAAAGTCACATATCTGACAAAAGTATCCACTATAAATTAAATGGTTAAGCACTTGCTTTTGTAACTACTAATAAAAACAAGAGGTGAAATCCAATTAACTTTCATTCTTTACTGGCACATGCCTTGGGCATCTTGTCTTTTTTGTTTGTTTGTTTTTGTTTTGGGTGGTACTGGGATTTGAACTCAGGGCCTCACACTTGCTAGGCAGGTGCTCCACTACTTGAGGTACTCCACCAGCCCTGTTTTGTGTTGGGTCTCGAGCTATTTGCCCAGGCTGACCTCAGTCCTCCTGATCTCTGCCTCCTGTGTAGCTACAGGCTTGAACTACCCAGTGGCGTCTGTCATACTTCATAATGCTTTTGATCCTTAGAATTATTGATGTTGAAATTTCTTTCAGATCATGAGGGTGATGCTGGAACAATCAGTATCAGGTGTTCCAAAGTTGTATCAACATTGTTTCCATGACATGTCACACTGTATCATCAATCTCTAAATTCATTAAAGAAATTTCTTTTCCTTTCTTCCTTCCACCTTCCTCCCTCTGCCTCCCTCTGGCTACTCTGGAGGTGGATAAAGGAGGATTGTGAGTTTGAGGGCAGCCTGGGAAAGTTAATAAGACCCTATCTCAAAGGAAGGAAGTAGGGAAGGAAGGGAGGCTAGCTAAAGGACTGGGTATCTAGCTCAAATTGTAGAGTGCTTTAACAAGCTCAAGGCACTGGATTCTATCCCCAGTACCTGCTCTGTGCGCCTCTCTCCACGTGCCCACCCCCCCAAATCAAAAACCCTTCACCATAGATATAATACTGAACATTCACTTTCTAATATTTTTTCCTACTGTACAAAATTTGGTTTCCTTTTGATGTGTTAAATAAAAAGTTATTAAATCCTCACATTGTGTAGCATTTGTTACTTGGCACTTTCCGAGGAGGAGTTAAAAGAAAGAAGTGCAGGTACATCTTTTAAGAGAAGACCTGAGTTCTTATCCTCAGAATGTGCAAATGTTTAGGAAGATGTAGGGGGTAAGTAGCTAGAACGAGCATGTTGTCTAGCAGTTGTGCATTGTAGAGGAGGCACAAATAATGGAACAACAGTTAAGCTGGAGGGTTTGGTTGACCTAGGCAGATGTGGGCAGTAGAAGAGAGAGGAAAGTAAGTTCCAGGTGGAAAATCTGGTACCTCTAATTCTTGGTGGTGCACAATGGTGCCTTTTCTTTGCTATTTATTTTTTTCTTTGCTATTTTCATTGTTAGTCATAAGGACTGGATTTGGAATGTGGGAGGATGTTGTAGGTTGTGGGTCCCTAATTGGCTTGTGTAGACAGTTTTGTATTGCTAATAGGAGGTGGTGACATTTTATTTTTACTTTTAGCCAGCAAAGACAATGTTGATCATTTGCCATTCACTGGTAAGAGAACCATTGTAGTTGATCATGAATGGTAAGTAGCTTTTGGGAGGGTGGAGGATTTTCTTGATTTCAGACTTTCCTTTTTTTTGTTTTTTCTTTTGCAGTACTGGGGCTTGAACTCAGGGCCTACACCTTGAGGCATTCCACCAGCCCTTCTCTGGGATGGATTTTTGACATAGGGTCTTGCAAACTGTTTGCCTAAGCTGGCTTTGAATTACAATCCTCCTGATCTCTGCCTCCTGAGTAGCTAGAATTACAGGCATGAGCCACAGGCACACTGTCTTTTTTGACCATTTTGTCTGCAGAATACATCCTTTTTTTTTTCCTTTTGTTTTATCCTACAAAAGCCTTTTCACACCACCAAGTTATTAGCAGAGGAAAAAATATGTACCTTGTCTGCCAACTCAGGTAGCTTGATATTTATTTTCTTTTGTTGTTTGTTTATGCAATACTGGTGTTTGAACTCAGGGCCTCATGCTTGCTAGGCAGACTCTGACCACTTGAGTCCTCCACAAGCCCGATATTTACTTTCTTGTTGCCTCTTGAAGGCTGCAGCTAGATATAGTGGATCTGAAGGGCCACAGCTCTTGCAGCTTATGCTCAGTTCTTAACATTTGAAATGGCTGAGTAACCTCCAGTTGCTCCACGTACTGCAGAACTATACAGTTGAGTCAGAAAATAGTTGGCAGACTAATTGGTTGGTAACTCTTTCTACTCAGCAATTCTTTCTACTTGCCAGTTCTTCAGCTGTTTCTAGAAGAAGAAACTGCTGGAGGATTCTGGGTGAGCCCAGGCATGTGGTGTCAGAAGGAAGCAAAGGCTATGAGTTAGCATTGCAGAGAGGGCTGCTATAGTGGGAAGGAAATACGATTTGAGGACTAGATTTTCCAGAATGGCAAATTGACAGTGTGTTCATGTTGGTGCCTGGAAACATTGTCTTCATGTTTCCTTTCTTACTGTGCACTTATTAGGATTTTTTAAAAAATGAAAGTTCATTGTTGGAAAGCTTAAAGGCATTGTTTATGTATTTTTCCAGTAGCAAAAATAACAGAATGGGGAATGCCAAACTGAGTAGCTCAGTTTTTGAGTGAACAGGACCTGTAGGCTACAAATGGTGACATTTCACTCTCTATCCTCAGGGTATCTCTGGCCTCCTCCTTAGTTATGTACAGTTTCATAAAATTTGTTTCATCACTTAATTTATATCCCCAGATGGTATTTGGACCTTCAGAGGGATAAAACCATGTTTTATGCACTTCTGGCATTCTCTGTGGTCCCTAGTACCTTCATATTCATCTTTGTATTTTGCCCAGTTGTAATGTGTTTATTGCTTTTTCTCTTCTTTTTTGTTCTTTTGGTGCTGGGGATTGAACCCAGGGTGTTGAGCATTGTAAGCTTGTGTTCTATCAGTGAACTATCCCCCCACTTCTCTTTTTGGGACATTGTCATCTGAAATCATTTGTTGGTTTGTTTACTTGGTCTTTCTGGCACAATCCACAGCTGGATTTGCCTCTGTCATGGCTGGCTGCAGCAGGAAAGTTCCCAAGAGAGACAGACCCCATGCTATTTTGAGATGGGTTTGATTGGGATTCCCAGGGTGAGAACTTACATATCGAGAACCACACTATCCTCATGATAGATACTGAGACAAGAGATGGTCTATATAGGTGTGTCCATGAGGGTATGGGGGGATCAGGTAGAGTCAGATGGAGTCTATCTGAGGCTTCAAGGAATTTGGCACAGGGTTGGAGCTAGTTTCTGAGTTAGTCACATGTTGGATCTTTGAGTGTTTTAGGTAACACCCTAAAAACCATATTGGTGCCTAGAAATGTTCAAGGCCCAGGTTGAATTCTAGCATGCAAGGGGATAATATGCAGCTGGCCTGGTCTCAGCACTGTCAAGGCACCCTGTGTTTCTTAGGGCAAAGGAAGAAAGAAGGGAAATTGGTAGACCCTACTTTTGTTTACCTTTTCCAAAGAGAATAACAGCTCTTTGATAACAGGACTAAATCTTATTCTTTGATCCTTACAGGACCTAGCATTCTGTTAGATAATCTGTAAATAAATAGGCAATGAATGAATGAGTGCAAATGTGAAGAAATATTTTTGTGATTTAGCAGACCGTGCTTATTTAATTTTTATGAGTCAGTGATTTCTCAAGTCACATTTTGTGGTGGTATATTTTGGGGGTTCACAAAATATGGTCAAAGAGCAGTTCCACGAGTGAGGCTTTGGGCCCTGTTTCTACCTGACAGATGATTTTGCTGATCAGACTAATTTATAATGATTCTGTCTGGAAAAGATAAAAGACTGTTCTCTATCTCGGGGCAGCAGTGCTTCTTGAGTTTTACCTTAACTGATGTTACTTAGTTGCTTTTTTATTTTTTAGGTTGCTGACAGAATTTGGCACAGGTTGATTTTTACCCTGGGCTTAGTATGTTTTTGGTTACAGAGATTGGTGCCCTCTGGGTCAGGTGGTCACTCTTTAAACACTCAGTTTTAGGCTTCAGGCCAGAGTTATCTAAAACAAAACGTGGTCACCCAAAGAGATGAGCTATGGTAACTTTTCTTAGCCGGAGGTATAGAAGGGTTGGCCTGGAGACTTCTGTGGCCTAGGTACCTTATAGGGATTTAGGATGAATTTAAAAGAGGCAGCTGTATTTCTGAAATAAGAAGCAATGCTAGAATATGTCAGATTTGCAGACTAGAGCTTAAATGAGGATTTTCAATGATTTATTTTAAAATATCCCAGTGTGTTAATTGGTCTTTTAAAATACATTCCTTAAATTCAGTTGGTATTTATTAAATGAATACTATTTGCAGAACAGTCCACTTTGCAGGAACAAAGAGATATGAATTAGTCTTCCTCTCAAGAGATGTTTGCCTACTTTGTGTACGGCTACAGCTCTTGGCCTGTTCCTGTCACACATAGTAGGAGCTAAATAAATATTTGTTAAATTAAGAATATGAATAAGCTATGGCCTCTGCCCTCAAGATTGGTTCCAGATGAGTAGGAGAAATGCATGTTGAAGACTTCCCACATTCTGCAAAGAGTGGCACTTAAGAGAGGTGTGAGAGTGATTTTGAGAGTAGGACTTGGGTAAGTGTGTCTAAAGGTTGAACTTTTGAGGGAAGGCTTGAAGAGTTGAAGGATTTTGAATGGAGAGCAGAAAAGCCTTTTAGACAAAAGAAGGAGGCAGAATTTTGTTTTTCTTCTTTTGGTGGATATTGGAGTCTAGCTTGCTTTGGTGAAGTGAGTGGTTGGAGATGGAACCGGAAAGGAATACTGAGCTTCAAAAGCTGAGAAACTGGATTTTACTTATCAGTCACTGGGGAACCAAGGATGGCATTTTGGCAGATGAGTATATAATCAGAACTAAGATTGAAGAAAATTTGATTAGAGATAGAAGTGGTTAGAAAGCTACTAAAATAGTTCAGGCAAACCAACTGAGCGCCCAATTTAGAATGCTATCAGAGAGAGCTGGGGGGTGGGAGTAGAAGGAATTGAAGTTATCCAGCAACATTTATCTGCTTTGCAGCAAAACATGCCTTTGCTGCCAATGAGTTTGTATTGTAGATAGGGAAGAGTGTGCATTCAGTGGAATAATTTGAGAGATGTACAGGAAGTCCCTGTAGTGTTCCCTTGTGAGGGGAGATTTTGCAGATTTTGAATTGAGGCTGGGGGGAGGGGTTTCAGTAATTTTCCTAAGATAATATTGAGAGCCAGAGTTTTAAATTCAGGTCTCCATAATTTTAAAGCCTCTGCATTTTTTTTCCCTCTATGTAATGGTCTATAGAAGACAAATGGGAAAGACACTGAAGACTGATTGTTCAGGATTTCCTGACCTCAGATGCAATTACTGTTGGGTGGATGAGAGAGGAAGAGAATGAGGATTCCTTTCCGTTTTTTTGGACCCAGAGACTGGGAAGGGGTTTGTTGTGTCAGAAGCTTCTTTATTACGAGTATGAGTCAATACAGAATACAAGAGTTCTCTTATAAGTTTTGTTTGCCTGTTAATATTTCAAAATTGTTCTTAAACTTGTTTTCTGGACTGTATTCTTAATGCAAGGATATCATTCTGATGAGTTCAGAGTGGGAAAGGATTGTTCATTATGTGCTAAGCAGCTATTCATCCCTCTGTAGAATCCAGTGACAGTTCCATCTGCTTCCTGATTTGTGTCTTTATTTTCTTACACACATTTTCTAATTTAGTTCCTTTGGTTAGGATGCTGTTTTTTTTCTTTTAAGTAGAAGCTATGTAATTATGGATTATGTGAATTTGTAAACATTGATAAAATGTATCTTTTATTTGCCGCATACAGTGCATCTGCACCATTTTGTTTCAGGTGAAATATGTCTGAGGCATGACGTTCACCTGGGTCCTGGTGGGGCTGGTCATTTATGCGTGCTTTCTCTTTCCTGCGTTCCTTCTGTGGTGGTCAAGAGCTTCAGCCGATGCCTTTTTAAAACCAGAATACAGGTGGTGTATGTTATTAGTGCTTTCTTTTTCTTTTAAAAAATGACTTTATTTAGAGCAAAAACAAATGATCACACAAAGTATATGTGTAACTTCATTAATTATTGTAACATGTAGGTCAAGAAATGGGACTTTCAGAATCATGTGGGAGCACATTGCCTTTTGCACTGACAGTCCTTTCGAAACAAATTAACCACTGTACCTTCACTTTTACAATAATTATTTCTTTATGTTCCATTATGGTTTTATCACCCAAGTGTGACTCTCTGGATTGTATAGTTTTCTTTGTGATGTGTCTCCTGAATCTACTGTGTAATAATCTGTAGGTTCTTTCCCTTCATCCTTTTATTTTCTTAAATTTTATTTGTTGATGAACCCAGGGCATTTGGTGAAAAGAGTCTACTGCCATCTGGATTTTACTGTTTACATAGTGCAGTTAAGCATATGTCTGTGTGTAGTGAGATCTGATCCATTTGGCAAGATTATAGTGTACTATACTTTTATCAGGAGGTACATGATATCTGATTTTGTGTTTAAATCTTTTTAGCTTATATCCATTAATTCCTTGGGTGTTGTAAAATTGTAAGATTGTTTCATTATCATTTATTAGCCAGAATAACTGTGGCATTGCTTCCTTTCTTTTTTTTTTTTTTTTTTTTTTCTTTTGGTGGTCCTGGGGTTCAAACTCAGGGCCAATTCCTTGAGCCACTCCTTTTTTATGAAGGCTTTTTCGAGATAGGGTCTTATGAACTGTTTGCCTGGACTGGCTTCTAGCCTCGATCCTCCTGATGTCTGTCTCCTGAGTAGCTAGGATTACAGGTGTGAGCCACCTGCGCCTGGTTTGTATTAATCCTTACAGAAGTCAGATTGCCCTGTTATGGTTAATGGGGAAGCCTTTTAACACTGGCTCCTGAGTGACTCTAGGGATATTTTTTTAAGTTGGTCCACAACTTGACATTTATGAAACATACCAGCTACTATCACATTGCAGTTAATTTTTCCAGTATTGCTATTACTCTGTTAATTATTAATATCTGTTCTAAGTATATATTTATTTAAAACATTTTCCTTTTCTTTTCTTTTTTTTTTTTCTTGGAGGACATTGGTACTGGGGGTGAACTCAGGGCTTCATGCTTGCAAAGTACAAAGCTGGTGCTCTACCCCTTAAACCACACCTCCAGTCCATTTTTTTCTGTGGTTATTTTGGAAATATGGGGGTCTCATGAACTATTTTCCCAGGCTGGCCGTGAACCTCCATCCTCCCAATCTCAGTCTCCCAAGTAGCTAGGATTAAAGGCACAAGTCACTGGTGCCCAGCTTCTTTTGCATCCTTGCTGAAGATAGGTAGAGTACTTTAGAGAAATTGTGCTTGTCTCTTCAGTTTATTTCCATTACATATATACACATGCATGTATCTGGATATGTAGCTCGACATGTGTTCCACATAAACACATGTGACTGGAAACCTGTGTATGTGTGAACCTCATCACAAGCCCATGTTGGAAATGACAACACTGCAAGATACCAGGCTAGTTCTTCTACACTCATCACTGGCCTCACTTCTTCCCCTCACTTGACCTTGATTATGTAAACAGTTTGATATTATCTCTAACCTAATGTCTGGACACCACCAGCTGCCATGCCCCAGAAGGAACCCTTCTTATGCATTGTTTCTAGTTCTGAGTCTCATTTTCTATTATCCCTGTGGTATAGTATTATTCCACTGTCAGATCAATCCAAAACAACAACAACAAAAAAACTGATGTTGAAAACTTTGTAAATATCCTTTTTTCTTGCTTCCGAATGAAGTTTTCTATTTTCTGTTTAGCCTCACAGCTCCACCACTTGAATTTGATGGTCACACATGTGAGGACAGTCAGGGTTGTTTGCTAGCTCCTTCTTCCAGTTGAGCCCGAGTGGGACTCTCTTGGTCTTGACTGATTCGAATAATGTTGGGTCTTCATCAGCTTTGAAATCTGCTGTGTGAAGTATCTATATGGATAGTTTCAACAGTTTTCCATGTGTTTGGGTCTAAACTATGAACATTTTTTAATGTTCCCAAGTCTGGTTTGTATCATATTTTCAATTTTCATGGAAATCATCTTTCATATCTTACAATTGTTCTACAGTAGGGGTATTCATTTCAAGTTTTCTTATGAAACTGCAAGGAACCCTCAAGGAGCAACCATCCTTAAATGCTGGAACTTTGCTCTTTAGGTGAAAAATTGTGTGTGTATGTTGTCCCTTTTCTCCATCCTAAGATTCATTCTTAAGGATTTTAATTCCTTTTCTACCACCAGTCTCATTCTTAACTAGCTTCTTCTGAACAGAACATCATAAAACCACACAGAATCCTTTAATCAGCGTGTTTCCAGCACCTCCTTAGTTGTCTCCGCCACTCTTGCTATCTGCACATGAAGGTTTTCCATCTTTATCTTGCACCTTTCCTGAAGCAGACCTAAAATCATCTTTTACACTAGAATCCCTTATTTCTTTTACTGGGTAATAATATTTCAAAAACAGTCCAGAACATTTGGATCTTATTGCTGCTGGGTTGTTTATTATTTGTAGACATTTTGATTTATATGTTAATGATGTGAAAATGTATTTCTTTAGTTTCAGTGGGCATAGTTGAAAAGTATGTATTGTACCTTACTAGTCATAATGATACTTCTCATTTAAATCCAGGATTACTGAACTTTTATTTAACTTCTACCCTGTTCCATCTGTCTTTTCTTTTACCTAGAAATGCTTAGTTCTCAAGGAAATAGGGTGACGGAATTAGTATATCTTATAATTATTTTCTTTATCTCATCTACCCATATAATGGTTTCTGAGTAATGCTGCTAATATGGCAGTCACCACGTATGGTTTCTAAGAACAGTGAAAGAGCAAAGTTTTGTTTGCACTCTTCCTTTTTTTTCCCATGTTTTAAATGCAGGAGATAATCTACATTTTTAGATTGCATATGGTTGACTCTTTCTCTCTTCACCCTGGTCTAGTCTTAGTTCTTCAAGTTACTATGCATTTACTCTTCACCAGTCATCCTCACATAGCATTCCTTAGGAAGGACTCAGGACAGTAGCCCCTGACTTTTGATGTTATTTGTGCCCTTCCACCAAAGGTCAGTTTTGCTGGCTCATGCTTCTTTGTGTACCTTAAATATGCAGCTATAATTTCTTCTGGCATGGAGTATGCTGCACTGGCCTTGAACTTTGATACTTCTGCCTCACTGTCCCAAGTAGCTGGGATTACAACTGTATACCACCATGCTCTGCCAATTTCTTCTGTTTTTTTTTTTTTTTAAGGGTGGTGGTGGTGCTGGGTTTGAACTCAGGGCCCTACACTTGCTAGGCAAGCACTCTAACACTTGAGCTGCTCCCCCCCACCTCACCCTTTTTCTTTAGCTATTCTTTGAGTAGAGTCTTGTCCTGGGCCACAGTTCTGTTTTTTCCTGGTCTTATGTGTCTCATGCTGCCCCGTGCTTCCTAACAATGTCTTGTAGTAATAAAAGTCTTTTTTTCTTGTAAGTTTCTCTATATTAACCCCTACCATGGGCTGTTTTTCTAGGGTCTTGTAATGGAATGCTGAATTTTAAAGAGCATAGCATATCAGATAACCATGTATAATGTCATTCATTTTGGAAGTGTCAATGGCTGATACGTTGCTCAGTGGTAGAGCACTTGTCCAAGAGTAAAATAAAAGACATGTCCTTCTTGGTTTAGTATTTATTTGGTTAGTTATTAAATATCCTTGATCTTGTTAATTGGGAGGGCTTTATTTTTTCAAATCCCTCTCTCCCTCAGCTTTACGTACCATATACTGTTGTATACTGTGTTGTGGATGATCAAAGAAAGATTTCATTCTGAGCCAGGCACCTGTGGCTTATGCTTGTAATCCTACCTATTAAGAAGGCAGAGATCAGAGGATCATAGTTCCAAGCTAGCCCTGGCAAATAGTTCATGAGAACCTGCCTCGAAAAAAACCCAACACAAAACAGGGCTGGCGGAGTGGCTCAAGTGGCAGAGCGCCTGCCTAGCAAGCATGAGACCCTGAGTTCAAACCCCAGTACTGCAAAAAAAAAAAAAAAAAAAAAAGATTTCATTCAGATATATTTATAAGAAAGTGGTATGATAGTGTTTATTTTACCAAGTGGTATAAGTTAGGAACTGTTACATGTTTTGCCTCTGTCAGGGAAAGAAAAGGATGAATATGGCTAGATTTTAAAGAGACAGTGAATTTTTGATATATAAGCTTTCCTTTTGAAGAAATTTTAATATAACAGGGAGCCTTCATTAAAGTATGAGCATTTCTACATTCTGTTTCTTTAAATTTATTTTACCTTTCTTGCTGAATTTGTGTCTGTTTCACTTCTGTGTAATATAAAAATATATCAAAATATAGATTGTATTTTCAAATATCACTGGACTAGGACTAAATAAAAACATACAAGGCCCTGTTTGCAACACTTTCAGGATCATAGTGTTTTCTTCTTATGATGAGAGATGGTGATTCTTAGTCCTTTCACCTCTTTTGTACGATAGCTACGATAATGAGTCTTTGCTCAGTAGCTCAACCTGAGTTTGTTATATTGTGGACTGGAAGACTTAGACATAATGTACACAAATGGAAAAAACTTACAAGTGAATACTTTTGTTTAGAAATTAAGATTTAAATTACTGTTTATTAAATACTAACTTTTTTGAAGTTAACATGTTAATGAATTGTCTTGGGAGTAATCTACTCTTTTGTTTGTTTGTACTGGGGTTTGAATTCAGGGTCTCATGCTTGCTAGGCAGGCTCTGTTACTGCTTGAGCACCCACCAGCCCTTATTTGTGTTAAGTATTTTTGATTGGGTCTTATAAACTATTTGCCTGGGATGGCTTCGAACCATGATCCTCCTGATCTCTACCCCCTGAGTTTCTAGGATTACAGGCGTGAGCCACTGGTGTCCAATCTACTCTTAACATGACTTACTTAGGGAGTTAAGAGCTCATATTGATAAGCTAGAACTAAAGAATTTATTCATGTGCTATTAAAAACATAGGTTGGCGGATGGAGAGCTAACTTCCATATATCGGAGCATCTTACTATTCTTTAAGTGGGGGTAGAAGAAGGATTTGAAATCTCGTAAATTGTCCTTTTAGATTAAGTTAACTTAATGTTTTGTTGCTTAGGGTAATTATACCTTTGTTTTCTATTGGCATTCATTGAACTTCTCGTGTATTCCTTTTAGTTAAATGTCTATTATGTGCAGGACATTAGTTTAGCTTCTAGACATTAGTTTAGTTTCTAGAATAGCCAGTATGAAAACTGATGATATTACTGCACTGTGGAGTAGAGGTTCTGTTGAGGTGCTGAATGGAGGTACAGACAGTAAATGTTAAATTGTGAAAGATAGTGCTTAGTACAGTGGTTCTTTTGGAAGGGCAGGGGAAATTGACTGTGATTTGAACTCAGGGCTTTGTACTTGCAAGCAGGTGTTCTACCATTTAAGCCATGTCTCTAGTCCATTTTGCTCTGGTTAATTTGGAGATGGGGGTCTCATGAACTGTTTGCCAAGGCTGGCCTCAAACCAGTCTTCTGATCTCAGCTTCCCAAGTAGCTAGGATTATAGGCGTGAGCCACCAATGCCTGGCTTGCAGTGGTTCTTAAATTGGGATCCTTGGAATGTTCAGAAATTTAATGCAATAGTTTGAATGTAATGATTATTTTCAAGAGGCAAAATCTTAGCATAGTTTAAGAATTCTTAATTCTAGAGCCTGATTTGAAATGTAGTCACTAAATATTGTTTTCTATATAAGTGCAAAGAAACGTTAGGCTATAAATTCCCCAGGCAGTTGATTCCACTGTCTCCTCTTCTGTGTGATCATGTTAAATTTTCTTGGGTGTTGCTTCATTTTATGTCCCAATAATTACTTACTGCCAATTAAGACTCTTGATAGTTTCTTGAGTTAGTCTGACATAACACTGATGTTGGAGCTAGAAAATGATTCTTACAATTCCCTCTGATATTTGCACTCCCGAGTTACAGAATATGATAATATTGTTAATAGGTAAGTAATGGCTGTATTATGTGTTATTTGTCACAAGTTAGCTATTAAAGTTTTCTTTTGAAGACACTTTTCTGGGCACAGAGGATTTGGGGAAGCTTATCTTGATTCTTGCTTTAAAGAACATTGTTTGATGCTTATAAGTGGAGAGTTTGATTGTATATTTGTAGAAGTCTGTGAACTTTACCCTGCACTAATCCTGGTGACTCTTGGACACTGTGCTGATGACTGCTTTGTCTTTGGGCTTTAATCATAGACTTCAAGAAAGGTTTGTTGTTCTTAAGAACTAGGAAAATTAACAGATCTGGATAGGAGGGTTCCCTCTCAGGCACTTGCCCCAAACAGATACTCTTTAGGAACTGGGTCTTTTACTTCTTTGTTAGTGCCTTTAACAAAAGTTCCCTTTTTACATGTGTTTATTTTTTGTCTAAAGGATCTTTTACTGTTTTATATTTTAACACAGAGGACAGATGTCTCTAGCTCTGAGCTGGGCTTTGCTGATATCCTGTCTTTTGAGTGTTTCTTTCATCTTGGGCAGCTCTCTTTGTTAAAAGGCCAAACCCCTTAGTGAGATGTTCTGCGAAAGAGGACCCCTTGATATTTGAAAAGGGGAGAAATCCATTTAAACCATGTGATGGCTTCTGACAGCCCTACTGCTGGGTTCTGCTTGTTTTAATGTAAGCGATAGATGCTCTGGCTGGTTGTGTTCTGTAAGTGGATGTGAACTCTAATATAAGTGACATTTCATTGCAGATGTGATGGCCCTGTGGCTGGCACTCAGTTTCAATGTTGCCTGCCTTTAATTTTAAAGCTAGACACCATAATGGAGTTTAATTATCAGAGCATACAGTCAGATGAGTTCAAAGCATTTGCAATACCCTTCTTTATTAGGTAACTGGTGATTGTACATCACACTGAGTGTGCTGTGATTTACAATGCCAGTGTGTGCAGAAACAGCAATAGAAATGCTAATAAGACTGTGTGAAGGGGACTGCCATCAGTACTTTGTCAGCAGTTTGCTGCCAAATAGTCCTGGAAAACATAATCTGTAATCAAAGAGGAGTTTTGTGGAAATAGCAAACATAGACAAAAAAATATTATGATAAAAATAGTGCTCTGAGCTTTCTTTCTGGGAGGTTTCAATTATACCTCATTCATGACTTGCTCCTTTTTTATGTGTGTGTACAGTCTCAGTGGTATATAGCAGTATAAGTAGGATTTGATAATACTAGTTTTTCATTTTAGGAATTATAAGGTAGCATTGAGTGGAACATCTTATATTCTTTAAGAGGTTCTGTAGATTTCAGATTTAAAGGTTCTATGCCTCTACATTCAGAAACACTGAGCATTTTTGAGGGAAGGTGGCCCCTATAAAGATAGTATGACATGGTGGGGGACAAGGAAGTATGTGACTTTCTATAAGTAGCAGAGAGCATATATGACCACTTAATGTTTTTGAGAGATTGTTTGCTAGGTTGTTGGCACAGATACTGTAATTTTATAGGCTTATTCCAGTTCAGTTTTATTCACTGACAGTATAACAGGTACAAGTTTTAACTCTGTTAAACACTGTCTGTCATCCACCAGAAGGCCAGCTATATAAAAAAGAAACAAATAGTAGAAACATACTAGGTGGGAAGAAAGGAGAGAGAACATAACGGGCTGTGAGATAAACAAAAAGAGCCTGTGATTTAAAAATAAAAAAGTGGGCTACCAGAGTGGCTCAAGTGGTAGAGTACCCACCCAGCAAGGACAAGGTTTTTGAGTTTAAACCCTCAGTACTATAATGTGTTTGAATTGGGAATATATGTACATGATTCAAAAGTAATAGAAGTCATCCTCCCATTCTTGAACTCTTATTTGCCACATTTTTTTCCCCTGAACCTCACCTCACATAGGTAATCATTGTTAATACTTTAATATGTTTTCATCCTGAGTGTCTCAGTGCATGTGCAAGTGAGTACAGAAGCTTCAAACAGGTATGCTACTCTGCAGCTTGCACTCAGGAATATATGCTGTGGATTCTTTTTGTCAAAAAAAATTTCCCCTCTTTTATCACCTCCTTAACAAATATATACCCGCATAGTGTTTAATTGTATAGATATTTGCATAGCTTATTTAATAGTCCCCTGTTAATGGACCTGGATTTTGTGTAGTGAATAAACTTGTTTCTATTGTTTTTTATGTGTGTGCAGAACTATTTGTAGAATAAATTACATTAGATGCACCGCTAAGGAAACAGGTGAAATGCATCTGTAACTTTGATAGACATTGACCATTCCTGTCCACGAGGCAGTTGTGCCAGTTTCTATCTGTGTGAAAAGTAGTGAGAAGCCGTTTCTGCATAACTTGAGCAGCAGGAAAGTGTTATCAACTGGGATGCTTGCCAGGCTGAACAGTGTGTTCTTGGTGCAGCTTTAATTCGTGTTTTCTTATATAATTGCAACAGAATCCATTAAATAATCTTTTCTCACTTTTTTTTGAAATATCTTTTTCACAGACTAAATTCCTGAAAGTGATTTTTATCTGACAATAGCATGCATTTATCCTTACATGCCACTTATCTACTCACCTTGAAGTTTGGTTATTTTCTGAATGGTTTTTAGTGACTAATGCCTGTGCTTAGGTATCTTTGTAATTGGCACTAGAATTAACTTCCCAGTCTTCCAGCCACAGTTCTACAGGAGAGTTTTAAGTCCAGTACTATGAACCTTTTCTTGAATCATTTGAGAAAAAAAAAAATGTCAAATGATGCTCCATTGTTCTTGATACTGGAGTGTGTATCTTTATAAACAAGAACATTTTCTTATGTAACCTATAAACCAACGAGCAGATGTTCAAAATTAAAATGGTACATTATTACTGTCTAATCTTCAGACCCCACACACAGTTGTCAGCTGTTCAATGTCTTTTGCAATTAAAGGATTTTCTATCCAACATCGATGTTACATTTAGTTTCGATGTTTCTTTATACAACTTTAGTTTGAAGAGTTATCCATGCTTAACTTTCATGACCTTGACACTTTTGAAGTACATTTTGTAGAATATTTCCTAATTTGCATGTTCGTATTGTTTCCTCATTATTAGATTCAGGTTAGGGATCTCATTGCATCCTGCCAGGCAGGTATGGTTTCAGTATGCACTTTCCTTGGTGCAAACTTGATCAATCACTCTTGACCATTGGATGCCAGGCCCTTCCACTGTTTAAAGTTACTTTTTGTTTTTTGTAAGTTGTTGTTTTATTTTGTGGAAAAATGCTCAGTGACTATGAAATATCCTGTTCTTTAGCCAACTACTCAATTTGCTCATTATATACATCAGCACAAATACATGATTTTCTACTTTATTTGAAGTTAAAACTCCCTGCCAGGCAGGGTATGGTTTCAGTATGCACTTTCCTTGGTGCAAACTTTATCAATCACTTGATTGACCATTGGGTATGCCAGGCCCTTCCACTGTAAATTACTTTTTGTCCTTTGTAAGTTGTGTGTATTTTGTGGAAAAATGCTCAGTGACTATGAAAAATATCTGTTCTTTAGCCAACTACTCAATTTGCTCATTATATACATCAGCACAAATACATGATTTTCTACTTTATTTGAAGTTAAAACTCCATTACTGTCATTGTGTATTGATTCTCAAATTGATTCTAGATTTGATCAGCAGGAGTCCTTTCAGGCCAGTTTCTGTATGTGTTTTTACTTCCCTATCATTTGATCATTTCTTATTTCTGGCATAACAAGTTGTTTCTGGGCTTCTCTTCTTAGAGGCAAACATTTTAACCATTTTCTTTGCTTTCCTGAGACAGTGTGTGCCCATACTGCCCACCCCATGTGTATATGTAGGTGTGGGTTTTTAGTTTGTTAAACCAACACAAATTAAAGTAATTTGTGCTGAGTAATTTAAGTTTACTGAAGTCTAGTATATGTTTACAAAAGACTATAAATTGTATGGCTGGAGGTGTGGCTTAAGCGGTAGAGTACATCTAGCAACCACAAGGCCCTGAGTTCAAACTTGGATACCAAAAAAAAGTGTAAGTAGTAAATTTTGTTCTCAGTGGAATTTTCATATAGTGAATATATCTAATTTCTCTTATCAAGAAATAAAAGGCACTGTATTCATTCCAGAGGTCACCTCATGACCTCTCCCAGCTACCTACTCACAACTTGAGGATTTCCAACATCACAGATCAGTTGTTCTGCTTTTTAAACTATCTCTACAAAGGGGAATTATGTAACATATATTTAGTCTTTTTAATTTTTTTTAAAGCTTAATCTATTGTGAAGTTCATCCATGTTGTTGTATATTGCAGTAATTCACACTCATTGCTAGGTAATACTGTGTTGTATGAATATATGCAATTCATCTTACTGTTGATGAACATTTGGACAGCTGGAAAGATTTCATCATGTCTCCTGTAGTAATTGAGCACACAAATAGATGCCACATCATTAAGGATATAGAATAGTGAACAACACAGTTCAATTTTAGCTAGTTGTCAGGTTCAGAACTCTTAAGCTTAATTTGCCATATACTCAAACTATAAAAATGCAAATTCTCTTCAGGTGCGGTATGGATATTGATCAGAAATAATGACTTCATGTTAGATCATAGTCTCCCTCTCTCTCTCTCTGTTTCTGGGGGTTTTGAAATCAGGGCCTCACACTTGCTAGGTTAGAAGCTCTATCACCTGAGCCCCTTCGCCCAGCCCTTTTTTCATTGAGTGTTTTTGAGATAGGGTCTCGGGAACTATTTGCCCAGGACTGCCTTTGAACCTCGATCCTTCTAATATCTGCCTCCTGAGTAGCTAGCATTACAGTCATTAGCCACTGGTGCCCAGCTAGATCATAGTCTTAATACATCTTAGACATTAGCAATGTTAACAAGAAACATACCTTTGTCAAAGTGATACTCATTTAGGAATCAAAAATGGAAAAGATTACCTGAGATACATCCCACAAATATGCAACAATGAAGCAGCATACTTCTAAATAAATAGTTCAAGTTAAATAGAAAATCACAGTGAAAATTAGAAAATATCTTACAGTGAATGATTAATTGAATAAAATATAACATCACAATTATGAGATTTATTGAATGTCATGAATGCCCAGAAGTAAATTTTAGCCATTAATACATGTGAAAAATAATTTTAAAAAATAATAAATTTGACCCAAATAATCCAGTAGTCTAAGCATACATATCTAGAAATTTTAAAGGAACTTAAGACCAAAGAAAAGAGAATAATGAGCCGGGCGCTGGTGGCTCAGCCTGTAATCCTAGCTACCCAGGAGGCAGAGATCAGGAGGATCACAGTTTGAAGCCAATTCCTGGGCAAATAGTTCGTGAGACCCTATCTCGAAAAAACCCAATCACCAAAAAAAAGGTGATGAAGAGGCTCAAGGTGAAGGCTCTTAAGTTCAAGCCCCAGCACTGCAAATAAATAAATAAAACAAACAAACAAATAAATAGAAAGAAATGAGAATAATTGAAGACAAGAACTCGAGTGAATTAAATAAGTATATTAAAGGGAATTCAACAAAATCAAAAGTTGCCCTTTTGTAATAACTAATAAAACAATGAATCCTGTTTTGTTTTTTTTTAAAGGCTGCATTGTAAAAGACAAAACTTGGAACAAAACTACAGTTCTCCAAGCATTAATAAGGTATTAGGACAATTTGAAAACCTAGCTGTCACGAAACGTTCAAAGCAATTTAGGTTAATTTGAATTGAAAAGTTTTATTAGTCTTAGACAGACTTGCACAAACATGAATAGGAATGCTTTATAAACATTTTATTGGGATAGTGAACAACTGGAAATGACCCAAAATGTCTATCAGTAGGAAAACTGATGAATAAGTTGTGGTATATTGTACATGGAATTATATATGGAAAAGAATAGTTATCATGTAAATGAATGAACTCAGCTGGGTGTCAGTGGCTCATGCTTGTAATCTTAGCTACTTGGGAGGCTGATATTGAGAGGATTGAGATTGAGGCCATCCAGGGTCAATTAGTTTGTAAGATCCCATCTCCAAATAGCCAGAACAAATGGACTGGAGGGCGTGGCTCAAATGGTAGGAATGCCTGCTTTGCAAGCACGAAGCCCTGAGTTCAAAACCCAGCCCCACCAAAAAAAAAAGAATGAATTTGGTCTTGGGTGGATCACACAAGTATACTGTGGAATAACCAAAGCAGAGAACAGAAGAAGAATTTAGAGTATAGTGTCTTTATAAACATGCACAAAGCAATTCCTTACATAATTCTAGTTCTATGTACATATAAAGTAAAGCAGGAAGGACTGCATGAGAGAGTCCCCAATGAGTTCAAGAAGCTGGTGCCCCTGGCAGTAAGAGGGACCTGCGTAGCAGGGGTGTACAGGTTTCAGGTTTCCGTAATGTCTTATCAATACATAAGAATGTTTGGCACAAATAGATTACTTTTACTCCTTTCTACATGTTATATATTTCATAATAAACATTTAAAAGAAATGCAATAAAAAAAGATTGGACTGGTGGTGTGCGTAGTGGCGCAAAGCACTTGAGTAGCATGTGGAACTACTACTAAAAAGTGTAAACAGAAGGAAAGAGGGATGGAAAGAAGACAAAGAACCTTTGGGAGTCCTAGAGAGCCAGCCATACAGCACTCTTGGTTTTCCTTTCTTGTTCCTGTAGATGCGAGAAATTGGTGCAGAGTTTCATTAGTTATTTACGACCTTCTCTGTCTATATATAAAGCAAGTCACAATACACTTTTCTTATCCTTAGAGATTTTTGAGAACGACCCACTATTTAAGGAAAATAGCAGTGTAAATAAATGTTACTCACATAGGGTTGAATTGCGTGTGACTTTTTCTTCTTCTTTTTTGGAAGCACTTAACCAATACCTGGTTTTAGGGGCAGGATTGACAAAGGACCTAGTCCTCTTTTGGAAGCTAGCTCTCCCAAGTCTAGTTTTCTGTTGTCCCCTCTCGTACTCTCCTTAGGACCGACCATCTCTAGTTCAATATCTGATACCTAGCAGATACTCAGTAAATACTGGTTACATGATTTGAGGAAATAATACCTTAAACTAATTTTCCTTCACTTATTTTCATTATTGTTATAACTTTTATCTGCATTCTGGAAATTCCAATAGCCAGTATTAATCTCACCTAGAAGCTTTACCAACAAATGTTTTGGTTTTACCAAGAGGGTGGGGATTCTTGTTTATACTGCTCTCTGGCAACAGATAGGAGAAGTGTCATAGCTAATTTGAGAACTGTAGTTTTCCACATTAACTGGTCTGTAATGTTAAACGGAGTTAGAAATTTAGATTAGAATGTTGCTGTTTTCTAGTAATCTCAGTCCCACAAGCCTTTTCAGAATACAAATGTTAATTTTAAGAGTTGTCTTTTTGTGGTAATGGGACAAATAAATTAAGTTAATAATAATGTATTAGACACACGATAATTTAGAAAAACAAAACAAATAAAATCCAAAAGTTAAACTTGTGTTTGAAAAAAGAGGATAAAAGATTTTTTTAAAAAGGTCTTACTGCAAAAACTCAATAAATTTTTAAATGTTCTGAACATTGATAGTCTCCTTGCCAAAATTATTTTAAAATGAATTGTGGCTCTTGCCAAGTGCTCTTTGATATCCTTCCTCCCCTCCCTCCCTTTTTAAAACCAAAATGCAGTATTTTCCCAACTCAGCTCACACCTGTCTGAATTCACTGCCGATTATCCTGGGGTTAAGCCTTCTCATTTCCTCTTTTCCATTTCTCCTCTCAATAGGCCAGCAGTCTCTCCTTTTGCCGTATGGCATGTGGACCAGGATAAGCTATCAGGGAATCTTGTATTAGAAAAATGGTTATAAATAGACCAACTGGCATTAAAGGTTTACAGTCTTTGTATTGGTTTAGTTAAAAAGAAGGAAAAAATTAGACATTTGAGAGTAGAAAAAACTAATATATATAAAATAGAAAATGTCACTTTTGAGTGTTTTTTACCAGTTTTCCTCCTCTTATCCAACTATTTGGATTTGCTTATTGAACAAGTTTGGAATGCTTGCCAGCTGTAATTAGGTTCCCATTATTTTAATCCTTTTCTAAACCTGTATGTCTAGTGGCTCTTTGAAAGTATAAATACTTTGTTGCTAAAGTTATTTTACTATGTTGCTGTGTTGCAGTTTAATTTAAAGTATCTGGAGAGGGGGGAGTTTTGCTAGATTCATGTAAAATAGATGTTTGTCATTGTAAAAGATGTTATTCATTGTAGTGTGTAAGTTGTTACCTCTTTTCCCCTAAATGCTGATTTGTTTAATGTTGCTACTTTCCTAAAGAAGGAAGCAGTGTCATCTTTTTTCTTTTTTGAAGTGACCACAAAGTTCCCTGAAATTGCAGATAGATAAGTAAAGTTATTATTAGTCTTCTGTCACTGAACTACACCCCTAGCAGTTTATTTAGTTTTATTTTTGAGATGGGGTCTTGCTAACTTTGTCTTGGCTAGCCTGGGACTTGAGATCCTCCTGTGTCTTCAGTAGCTGGGATTATAGGTGTGTTAATACATTCTTGTTTGTATCAAGCTTTACAGTATTTCTTGATAACACGAGTCCAATTTTTAGAAAGAAACAAATGCTAAATTTAAATGAGAGCCTCTATACTATTTCCTACTCTTATGAAATTGTGTTGTTTGCTGAAAAATGGAGGAATTGGAGATCATCATTTTAAGTGAACATTTGTGGAAGTTGGGGGAGGAAGAGGTGGTACAAAACAAAACCAAAAAGCAAGATCATGGAAATAGAGGGTGGAAGGGAATGGAAAAAGGGGAAAAGAGGAGTCATGGAGCGGTGAGTATGATCAAAGTGCATTACATGCATTGATACCACTTAATGTACAACCAATACAAATGAATAAAAATGTCCGCTTGCTACTGGGATGTCTTATTGTATAAATAAAAATAAAGCTGTTATGTTTTTAGTGTCTCACATCTAAAAGAATTTATGCTTTAGAATCTCCAGTCATGGTTTTGTTTGAGGAGGATGCTTATGTTATTTCAGTGTGAGTCTAAAAGGGCCATTTGTGCAGCTTATTACTTCATCCCATAGAGATGGTCATTCTTAAAGTATGGTGCAAAGCTCTATAGAGTCAAACTGTTTTCATGATACCAAGCCATCCATGCCTTTTTATTCTCATTCTTTCATGAACAGTTCATTTTACAAAGCTAAATGAAGTGAGATATCGCAAAGAATTGAGGTCAGAAGCAGATCTGTTTTACCTCAACACAGTGGTTTGCCAAAAATGAAAGTATTAGTCATTCTAATTTTTTGTTTTAAAATTGTAATTATGTTAGTATGAACATGCACTAGGTCTATTACTGTTCCTTAAATGAATTAATAAATCTTTGAGTTACTGTTTTTATTTTATTTTACGTTGTATTTTTTATATTTACTTACATGTGTTACATCTTTTGCTGCTCTATGAAGGCTCCCTTCCCTCCCCCAACCCCACTCCCGCTTCTGGGGAGAGCCTGGTTCCTCTTGTTTTCCAAATTTGAAAGAGAAATTTTATTTTCTAACATAGTAATATATAACCTGCATGAAAAACATTCTTTTGACCTAGAATATAAGACCTCTGACAATCAGAAGTTTGAGAACCACTTCTGTAAATACGTGTGAACTTAGTGAAGTCTTTTCAGTATTTCACCAGTTCATTTTTAATATCCTTAATCCCAAATTAGTTAATTTTTATTTTTAAAATAAATGTGATGTTTAGTTAGGTACATGTGGCTCATGCCTGTAATCCTACCTACTTGGGAGGTAGAGATCAGGAAGCCAGCCTGGGCAAATAGTTCACAGGACCCTATCTCAAAAAATACCCATCCAGAAAAGGGCTTGTGGAGTAGCTAAGTGGTAGAGCACCTGCTTAGGAAACCCCTGAGTTCAAACTCTAGCAGAAACACAACACAAAAAAACCAGTATCACACAGTGATTACAACTATCTCCAAACAAGAAAGTATTACATAGGTGTCAAGTTTTTATGGTATTTGGGTTTTTTTTTTTTTTAAAAGAATTTATTGTAATGTTTAAAGCTTTAGTAGATTTGTGGCAGTTTCTTTACTATGCATTATGAACAGCAGCTATTTTTTCCTTTTATGAGGGAAATCCTTTGGGCCAAATAGATGGTTTATTTGTTCTGACCATAGCTACTAGCATAGAAAGAGTTAATTTTGGCTTTGGCCAGATTTTTGGAGACTTAGTGTGTAGGATCTTACATTCTAAATTCACCCTTCAAACCCATCCTTTTTGTTTTGTTTGTTTGTTTTTATACTTAATTTTTGCCCACTTTTAGGTGATTGGTGCAACATTTAAAGGGATCCCATTTGTCCTAGAGAACATTTTCCCCGTGGTGTTAGTTTCTATTAATTGAAAATTTATTAACATTTCTTATTACCACAGGAAACCTCAATATCAGTAAATCTAACCTTTTTTCTTACTGTGTTATGCAAATACACGAAAAGTTTTTTCAGAAAAGGTTCTTCTTGAGCCATACAGCATACAAATTGCTAGCAGTTTTACTCCCTAAACCCTATTTTGGGAAAAAACTGGTTGACCTATGGGCAGAATTTTCGTCTATGTGCACCCTGGTTCTGAAACTAGACGCTTCATTATTTGAAATATGAACACGTTAAACCTAACAATTAATAACTGAAGAATGCCGTCCTGTTAATCTTTATCAAGTTTTAACCCTTTTTTTTTTTTTCCTGACTGTTACTGCGGTTTGAACTCAGGGCTTGGTCTTGTCAGGCTGGCTCTTCTACCAGTCTGCCTGCCTCTTACTTAATAAACTACTTAAGCCATGGTGGCTGTGGCTCATGCCTGTAATCCTAGCTACTCCACAGGCATGGCAAGAGAGATCAGGAGGATTGTCGGTTCAAAACCAGCCTGGACAAATAGTTTGAGGAGACCCTATCTTGAAAAAAAACCCACACAAAAAAAAGGGTGGTGGATGTTAGCTCGGTGGTAGGCCTGGTTTAAGCCTCAGGTACTGCAAAAAAAAAAAAAAAAGTTTATTTGGTGACAATTTATCTTTAAGTCCTAATGAAGTTGTTCTTGGCCTTACTTACCTCTTGTCCTTTTGATAAACACTTGAGAGGGAGGGGTGGGCCTTTTATTGTGGGCATGATGTGTCTTCCAAGTCTGCTAGTGGTTGAGTGATTGAAGCAGACTCTTCTCTCTACATTTAAATTGCTGACTGCTGATTGTTATTGTAAAGAAATCTCTGTGCTTGTCCTGTTATACCGGTGAACTCTTCCTTTGTTCTCTTGATTATCTTTAATTTGTGCTAAAATATTTTCCAAGGTCATTAAAACGTGTTCCTGGAAAAGTCTCTGGATGCTGTTTTAAATCAATGAAAGTACTATATTAACAATTACAAGGGTTCTAGGAAACAGCTTTAGCCTTTCTGTCTTGTTTTGGGGAAGCGACCGGGGGGACTGCCCTGTTTCCGTTCGGCCTTCCTTCTTTCTGTTCTACTTTTGTTCTTTTCTTTGTGAGTTTAATCGTAGTTTTTTAATTGTTTATGTTCAGCTCTGACTTTAATTAGTTAATTCTCAAACCTTGCCCTATGGAGTCCTCCCTGTTCTGCTGCCCATTATTGGGAGGGGAAAAGTTGGTTCGTTTTTTTTTTTCTCTAAGGGGGCCCAACTTTTTTTGGGGGGGGGGGCCCCAAAGGGGGGGGATTGGGTTGGATTATTTGTTCCTTTAATTTACATTGTTGTTTTTCATTTTAGTGATGTGGAAGATCTGGTTTTTTTTTTTTTTTGTTTTGTTTGTTTTTTTAATGAAGGAGGTGCTCTTACTTACTTGAGCCTGCTTACAGTCAAGAATCTGAATTTAACCCCAAGCAAACTCCTCTCTTTCTTGGACACAGAGCCACGTCATGAAACCTCATGGGAGCAGATAATATGTCCTGTTTGGTAGTTTCTGTAGCTCTGGTTGTGTCCCACCTCATGTAACCTTCCTTTTTTTGTTGTGAAGGTGGAAGGTGACAGAGTATTTACTTCATAATGGGTCTTCTCTGTATTAGGAATATTCCCGGGAAGCCCCTCCTACCTTCCCTTGTTGGTTCTGGCTTTCTAGCAAACATGTCACATAACCACTTTTGATTTTTGTTGCATTCATTCCATTAATCACTAGGTAAAATAATAGGCATGTTGTTAGAAAACACCTGATGGGCTTTTTAGATTCTTAAAGAAAGTAAAGATACTTTCCTAATTTGCTGCAAAATATAGTGGCATAATTTTGAATGTTGAGAAAAAGCAAAACTAATATAACTTCTTACTATTTCTTGAGTACTGTCTTCATGTGTTAGAACGATTGACAGTAATATTTAACATTTAATGAGATTAATTCATTTCAATTTCTATTTATTTGTTAATCCTCACATCTAATGAGGATAGGGACCCTAGGTTTGGGGGGCAGGGGGTTAATTTCTTGATTTTTTGAGCAGAAGTCTTTAACTTGAGGAGTAGGAATCAGATCCTGTGATTTCTTGTTCTTTAGTGTTGACTCAGTCCCCAGTGTTGGGGTAACCTTTTGGAACTGTTCAGGGGTATTGCTTCCTGCTACAGTAGTTTGGCTTCCTCTGATGATGAAATTTTTCTTTTAAACATTTAGAAATGATAATGTTAGCTTAATGATATTGAACAGATTACAGGGGACTTAAGTGAAGGATTCTCCCATAGCATCATTTTATCTCTTCCTTTTGTCTGGGATGAAATGCAGATGTAAGCATACCAGTGTGCAAAGAGACCCTGGAAACCATCTTGTTCCATCCCTCCACTTTTCATGGCTTAGTTGAGTTAACTGGTGGTTGCAGACAGAACTGCTATTTTACATTGTACAATTTTGTTATTGCAAACAACACCACTGCCTTTTCTTTCAGGCTTAGTCTTTGATTTGACATTACTACCCTTCTCTTAGAAATATTTTTCCTATTGCAGTATTTAAGTTTGTTATAAACTTGCTTAGTTTGGTTATCTTGTTTGTGCTGTTGTCGGGAATAGATTTTTTTAAAATTTTTTTTTTAAAAACACAATACTGCAGCTCCCTGGTTATGAGGTTGTACTGCATTAGGATCTCCAAAAATCCTTGAACTTGCTTTTGTAAGTCTAATATCAGGAGTTCATGAATCTAGATACAAATAAACCGAACAGTAAATTTTCTTGTGCATGTAATCAATATATGCTTGGGTAGAAGGTACAAAATTATGCACATGAAAGTTTCCAGAATCACTGGTTGTTCCAGACCAACATGTGTTAATTTCGTTGCTGTACCCAAAAGACATTTCTGTTGCCTTGGTCAGGTTTTAGGCATCTAAATGTATAGCAGGAAAAGTATACACATAGATCTTACAGACCACTGTTGCTAGGACTGCTGGTAGATATGAATTCTGTTAAGTAGTTCATTAGTGTGAGCTGCAAGTGCATCTGTTAATAGTTCAGTGACTACTGATGAGTGCATTCCTTGCATGAATAGAGGAGTTCTTAGGATTATTCGTGAAGCACTGGCTATAATCGCTACTAACAGAGGAGAGAGTATTTGTTTTTTAAGGCACTTACTCAGTTCCGGATGCTATCTTTAAAATTCTCTCAGTAATTCTTTTAGTAGATTTAACTATCCCATTTTACAAACGGGGGAGAGTTGAGTTGAAGTCCTGTAGATAGAAGTAGTTGGCTTGGAATTGGCTGTGACGGAACTTTTCATTTTTTTCCCAGGAAGGAGTCCCATGTTCCCTACCCCATTAATGCTTGATTTCCAAGGTTTTTTTTCTATATTCCTATTCTGGCTTTGCTTTCCTTAAGAATCAAAACAAAACAAAACAAAACAAAACAAAAACAAAACAAAACAAAAAACCCCTTAGCACCAGTGGTTGTTCAACATTGTGTCCCTTTAGGGAACATTTGTCAATGTTCAGAGATTTTTTTAGTTGTTTCACACACCTCTAGTGGTGGGAAGCCAGGGGTGTTGTTAAACATCTGATGAGTGCACAGGCAGACCACAAACAAAGATAAATCGGGCCCAGATGCAGTAATTGCTGAATGAGAGACTGTGTTAGATATTGTATTGTGGTTAAGTGCTTATCCCTAAGTACGCGACAGGCTCTCCTCTTTTCTTTGGGTTGTATTTTTCTTTTCCCATGTGGAGTAATCGATCCTGTCCTGCTTTTTTTATTGTCCCACCCTTAGGGAAGAAATTGTATCTTTTGTAGAAGAGGTAAAAATATTTCTCCTTCTACCTTCGTAATGTAGTCTACAAAATAGTCTTTGTCCCACGAGATTTTTTTGGAGTAGCGCAGACGGCCCCACACTCCGTCTGCTGCTCTCTGTGATCCTCAGTGTCTTAGATTTAAAGGGCCCGTTGTCTAATAAGCCTCAGTGAGGATCCAGACTATTTAGTCAGATTCATGTCTTGTCAGAATTGCTCCAGAATGTTTGTTTTCTGTGCTGTATGCAGATGAACCTGTTGGGTTCTGGATGTTTTTTACACTTTGGCAATCTTTATTTCTTTGCAGGTATCCTTTTTTGATTGGAAAGACTGACATTGAGTCTCTCCTGTGTTACTCCTTCATAGTTTTCCTTGGATGTGCCTCCTTTTCTCTAAGCTCCTACATTAAAACATTTTTTCTGTTGTAGTTTCTCATCTTGCTTTGGTTCCTCTTTTCCCATTTGTAGGATAGATGATGGCCAATTATTTGTCATTAAACTTTTCATGTAATAAAGTGCAAATGTAGGGTAAAAACTAAAGATACCATTTATTTTTTTTTTTTATGGTAGGGGGGGAGGTTTTATTCTTCGTTTATGTTCTGTTTTATTCAAGGCCAGTGATAGTGCCCTATTTTTTGGGCATTCTGTTGAACAGTAAAGTTGAAAAACTCTTCGGTTTAATGGTATTTACTTTGGAATAGCATTGTTCATATATTGAGGTTCTTGTCCAGGCTTATGGCAGCGTTTGTTTTTTTCTCTCTTTCATGGTTCTTTTAATGGCTTAAATATTTCGCAGAGGTTTTTTTTGAAGCCTCCTGGTCTTGTAGAGCAGGCTATATTTATGATTGTATCATTAAGCAGGAAACACTTTCATTTCATGGGGTTTCTCTGACCAACCATTTTAGGTTTTAGCTATATTCTTTAAATTCTGAGGCATTTACTGAATTTTAATTCCCATATATTTCTGACCAGTTGTTTTTTGAGACAAGAAAGAGGCTCCTAAGAGGGCTGATACTGCTTTCAGCCTGGGGTAATTTCTAGGCCTCTCCTGGGTTGAAATTATTTTATGAAGGTTCTTAGAAAACCTCAGTGTACTCCATGCTGAAGCTGTTTCAGAGTCTGGGACATGGACAGTTCTACCTCAAACTGACTGCATAGCCTTATTGTTTTGAATGATGGAGAGCTGTAACTTTTAGACATACCATGGTTAATTATCCTACAACATTTACAATATATTGATACTCACTAGGCTCTTTCTTGTTTACCATAATTAAACAAGCTGTTGTGTGTTCTGGAGATTCACAGATACATAAGATAGGGACTGGTGTATGGACTACAGTTCCTTCATTTGCCCTCATCGCTCTGATTCAGTGCGCATCATAAACTCAGATAGAGGAATAACTGCAGAGTTCTGTTGCCCACAGTGCGAGGGGGAATTCAGACGAGGTCTTTAGGATTAGCTAAACCTTTGGAGGAGGAGTGATCTTTGTATGTCAGGTTTTCTTCTGCGCGTAAGTTCTTTATACTTGGTTTGCTCTTAATTGAGCTCTTAATGAGCCTCAATAGTGATGTTCCAGTTACAAGTTCTTTAAAATGATTAAGGGTTAAATAGAAGGGATTACTCTTGTAATACTGTATAAGTCAGTGTAAATATAAAAACGTAATATTGATGGATTAAATTGGGAAATAAGTTCAAGATTTGGGCTCTTGTTTCTTAAAATAAGCAACTTTGTAGAGTCAGAAGGCTTGCTATGGGTGGGTTTTTTGAAAAAAAAAAAAACAAAAACAAATCTTTACCCCTGTAATTGTTGTGTTTCTGGTGGTAGTTGTGTTTCTGTTTATCTGCCTGTCTACCTGTTTACAGAGCTTTGGATCATAGGTATGAATATGCACTTGTGGGCACTTGAATTTATGTTCCTATGCTTTTTAGATTTTCCTTTTCAGAGTAAGAGGACCATCTACTCATGAACGTCAAATGTGAACTATCCGTCAGTCTGAAGTTCCGATTCTGTTTCAGCATTTGTTCAGGATCGACAATTAACGAAAATGGTAAATAAGTCCTTCAGATCGGATTTCTTTGAAGGTCTTTATCTTTGATAGAGCTCTTCCAAGAATATCCATTAAATGGAGATAAACCACTGCTAATAAATTTCCTTGAAAGAGCTTTGTATATAATAAGGTACATTATTGGAATTGCTTTTTCATTATTTTTTATTTTATTCTATTTTAAAATCTCTGAACATCTAATAAAATCTCTCCCTTAAACTTTGGAATAGAGATAGCGTTTTCTTTGGAAAATAACAGTAATGTTCATTCTTTATTCTTACTTTACCTTACTGATGAGCAAATAATATTAAAAAAACCCTTTAGCTTGTATTTCTTTTCCTTTTTTTAATAATCTGTGTTATTTGGGCTCCCTTGTATACCTTCACGGTTAGTAAACGTCACTTTTCAAAAGCAAAGCTTTCTGAAAGATGTTTTGGATCAGCTGACGTCTGACTTTCGGACCATAGGGAAGTAGTTTTAGGCAGCTGATTTTTTTCGCTCCCTCTGGCATTGTTCTTCTGCTCGTAGCTTTTGTTGACACACAGGCCTATGTACATAGTAGCCTATTACATAGGTATAGGGTATAATAGGCTTTGTAAAAATAGCGTTCTTGGGAGGGGCTGTCTCATGCTAGATTGATTTACATTTGTCATCCACAAAATTGTTATGAGGCAGTTTGTCATTGTTGTTCCAATGAGGAAATTGAGTTGAAAGTATGATGTGTGAACTTGTGAGACTGTGGCTGCTCTGTCAGCTCTGGTAGTAGTGTTCCTCTTGCTGTCCTGTATTTGCCTTTGTTAATAGGTTTTTCAGTCAACAATCAGCCATCCCAAATGATTTGAAGAATGAGGGTTTCTTTTTTTAATTTCTTGCTAGTTTTTTTAAAGAAAAATTTGTTAAAACAAGAACTTCTTTAAGTCAGTTAAAATTATAATTTCTTGTTTTTTTAATTTTAAAAAACATGCAGTTCTCTTTTCCTTTTTTAAATTTAAAGATAATTTTTTGGTGGTATCTTGGCTGAACTTAGGACCTTGTGCTTGCTAGGCAGACACTCTACCACTTGAGCCCACTCTGCAGCCCTTTTGTGTGTTGAGGTATTTTCATGATAGTCTAGAGAAACTATTTGCCTGAGCTAGCTTCAAAACTATGACCTCCTGATCTCTACCTCCTACGATCGCTAGGAGTTATATATAGGCTTGGCACTGCACTTCCTATGGTTATTCTTTTTTCAACTTCTTAGCATTATGTGGCTTTATTCCATTTTGGATATTTAGCAACAACAAAACATAAAACCTTTATGATAGAGGGATCATTAAAATATATAGTTAGTTTATAAGTTTGCTGGGATGTTTTGATATTCTTTTTCCTCCCTTCCCTTTTTTTTGGGGGTGAACTGGGGTTTGAACATAGGACATGTGCTTGCCAAATGCAGACCTTTAAGGGCTTGAGCCTTTTTTTTTTTTTTTAACGTCTTAAAGTGTTTTAGCAAACTATAGTCTTAATTAAAGTATAACATGTATTCAACAAGATTTTAATCATTTGTTAAGAATTCACACTTTGTTCTTGTTCTCTCACTATATTTTCCTTTGCCCTATTATTTGCACAGATGCTAACCAGGCCTGGTTATTTATTGTGTCTTTTTTTAGTGGGAGGTGAACTTGGAAAAAAAAAAATTTGCAATCTAATTTTCCTACCTGCTTTGGGAAACTCAAGTTTTAATATCCTGGCTAATTAACTAACTTTTTCTTTGACAGACTCTGGAAGAGGAACTTGTCATTACAGATCCAGTTATTAAGAACCGAGAGCTCTTCATTTCTGACTATGTTGGACACATACCACGCTGGCTGCCCTTAGGTACTGTACCCAGAGATGTGCGTCTTTTATGGAAGGATGGAGGTAGAATGTCTAATCTAGTCTAATTTCCTTTGGAAATCTTATAATACTTAAACTTGTTCAGTTCACCTTTTGGATGATGAGAATTTCAAGAGGTTGCCAATGTCTTTCACGATTTCTGACTTTTACCTCTCTCTGTTTTCTAATTTATTTTTATATTCTTGTATATTGTTATATTTTTTATAACATATAAAAAGTAATGTTAGAAGCTTATTGTCTGTTTGTTTGCTAAAGTATTTAGGTAAATATGCTGATTGGTTGCAGTTTACTTTGTAATGGATCAAACCCCTACCACTTAGAAGAAAAAGGTGAAAAAAAATGGATGGAAGCAAACATGGCTTTCATGTTGAGAATCTAAGCAGAATTATAGTGGTTTTTTATCAAACTAATTATTCCAATTTTCTGTATGTGTGGAAAACTTCTTACTATAAAGCTTGGTGCAGGGTAGGGAGAATAGATGGAAGATGTATTCTGAGACAGAAGATAACATTTTGCAGCCTGGCTTAACTTCTTACGTAATTTTGCAAAAAGGTTAGCATGGGGACCTTTGCTTCTTGCATTTGTGTTCTCTCAAGCAAGGAATACCCCATATCCTGGTACATTGTTGTACACACATGGCAGGACTTTGAACTTCTTATTGGCATAGGACGTACAGATTACTAATATCCTTAAAATCCTTTCCTCACTTGGAATATTAAAACTGACTGTCCACAGTCAGTTCTGGAAAAAACGTACTTTGACGGGTGTTGGAGGGGAAAGGGAGAAGGCCAGTTTTACAAAGAGGGCTGCATAGGAAATTTATTTCCCTTTATTTCGTGATGGCTAAAATACAAAACTCTCACTCCCTCCTTTATAACCCAACCTTAGTACCAGCTTAAAGGAAAAATTTAAACATTCACTTGTCCTCCTGGGTGAATGGATGGCCAGAGTCCCCCTCAGATTACTTGTGAACTATGAATCCACATACTGAGCCCTTTGATCTTTGAGAAGAATAGTGTAAGTACTAGCTTTATCAATTCTTTTCCTTTTTTGTCTCCAGGGCTTTTTTATTTTTTCCACATTACATTCATTTGATTCCCCTTTCATTTTCTTACAGACTGTTATTTGTTGGTCTCCTCAGAATTGAGTTTATTATTTATTATTTTTTAATTCATTTATTCTCATGTGCATACATTGTTTGGGTCATTTCTCTCTGGAATTTATATTTGATAGTACTGGCTTTTTATCTGTGAAGGGTTAAAAAAAAAAAAGCAAAACCTTCTATGGCTATTATTTGAAAAGAAAAAACTTGAAGGAAAGTTAATTCTTCAATTCTCCCCTCAAACCCCGAATGTATTTTAAAATTAAGATAATCCAATTTTGGAAAGAGAAAAGGAGTACTCTGGTGGCATTGCCACCCCACACTGATACATGGAGATGATTTGGGGTGAGCACAATGGCTCTGAGAATTTGGTAGGGCTGCTAAGCAACAGTTTAAGACCCACACACTTGAACACTGGGCCCTGGCAAAAGTGTCAGCAGTTCACACGACTTACTGAGTCCCTGCGTAAACTAGGCAGACTGTTCAGTAATAAGGACCACTCAAAAAAAACTAGTTTTTTGATGCTTTATTGAGCCACCAAAATTGAGTAGAAGATTGAAGTTTTGTAACTGAGCTACCACTGTTTTTGGGAGAACTTTTAAGGAAAAAAAAAAACCTAATGATAAGATTCTAATACATACCCAGTAGAAGAACCTCAAGTGCCGCCACTGTAGGTTAGCACTTTTAAGTGCCATGGGTCCAGACCACATCTCCAGAAGGCACCTGAGTGCAAATCTTAGTAATCTATATATGTTTTGCATATATTGTAAGAACTTTTGTAAATCCCAATGTACCCCTACCCAGCACAACAGCTAAAGGAGAAAAAATGAATTAACTTTGCATTTAGTTGTTTCTCCTTAATGCCTGAAATCTTTCCTGTTTCATGCAGACTTTGTACTTTTTCATTTAAAAGTTAAATTTTGCCAAAGTTCCTTAATTTGGACTTGACATGTTTGTTTTTTTAATAAAGATCACACTGAAATACACATTTTTTGGCAAGAATACCACAGAATTTTTTTTTTTTTTTTGTGATACTGGACCTTGAACTCAGGGGCCGTACACCTTTGAGCCACTTCCACCAGCCCTTTTTTTTTTTTTTTTGAAGGGGTTTTTTTGAGGATAGGGTCTCATGGAACTACTTGCCTGGGCTGGCTTCAACTGTGACCTCCTGATCTCTGCTTCCTGAGAGCTAGTGATTACAGGTGTTGAGCCACCGTGCCCAGCAATACTACTATAGAAATTATTGTATTGAGTTACAGGCTAGTTTGTTTCTGGTGATATTGATGTGGTTCTGTAGGTTCTTCCACTGTGTTAGTTTACTTGGGGAAGATAACTTTGAGACTCTGCTGACCTTTTCTTTTTTGAGCTCGATTTTTTTTTTTTTCATTTTTCTTTATTATTCATTGTGATACAAGGCTTGGTTCATTTCTCCCCCTGCCCCCACCCCCTCCCTTACCACCCACTCCCCCCCCCCGCTACCTCCCCCCCAATTACCCAGCAAAACTATTTTGCCCTTATCTCTAATTTTGTTTGTAGAGAGAGTATATGTAGATATAGGAAGGAACAAGGGTTTGCTGGTTGAGATAAGGATTCTTGCTGACTCTTTTCTTTCCTTAAGCTTTTGCTCCTGATTTACACATTAACAGTGTGTTTCATTTGCAGAGCTACAGCTACTTGCTTTCCTGCTGGTACTTTTCCATTTTCTGTCTTTCCTACTTGTTTTGTTAATTGTTGTATTTTAATCATATATTTACATCAGCATAAATCTCAGGGTTATTTTTGTATCTTGTTGGGTAAGGTTTTTTAAGGACGTTTTTAAAATCAGTTTGTGACTATATTTCCGCACTGGCCTTGCATGTGCTAAATAAGCAAGAGCTCTGCACCCGAGCTACACCATTAGCCCTTGTTTGGTAGTTTTAATATTCTCATTATTGTTTTGCTCAAATTTTCTAGCATAGGCTTATAAAAGTTACTTCAGAATGGCCCCTGTTTTTTATTTTTTCTGTAGTAAAAATATAGTAAAGTTTATTGGGGAAGAATTTTTAAACAGATAAAAGTGTGGAGAAATTGTGAAAAGGGAGAGAAACATTTCTGCTCCTCATGTAGAAAACGGAGTAAAGACTTCTAGTCCCTGTATTGAAAGAATGCGTTCCAATTTTAAGCTCCCAATTTTTGTTTTGTTTTGTAACAAGTCCCAATGTTATTTTTGAGCTTTTGTGTTTTTTGGTTTTTTTGTATGGCTCCACAATAAATTTTCAGATTCACTGTATATTCTTCCCGCCCTGGCACTGGAAGTTAGCCATTCTCAAGGACCCTGGTTTCTTTAGATGAGTGTAGTTTTAGAAACCAAGATCTGATAGTAGACCATATTGCTTGCTGGGGATCATTGTTTCTAGTTTCTTCACACGATAGAGCAAACCCATGCATATATACTTCACACCCCCATTATTTTTCAAATTGTGAAGATTATGCTGATGCTTTGGATTCCAAGTCCATTATCACAAGATTTATTTTCATTCTTCCCCTTTCTTTTTATTTGTAACTTCTTCTTGAACATTTAGAAATTTATTCTTTGATTTTTTTTCTTTTTTTTTTTTTTTGTAGTACTGGAGTTTGTCTTGGGCTTTGCACTTGATAAGCACACTCTACTATTTCAGCCACCCTCCAGCCTAAGGAAACTCAATTATTAGTTGTTAAAATTACATTTGCTTGTTTTTTTGTTCAATTCTTAGAAACACAGAACTTAGGCTTCCAGGAATTTGTTAGCCCTTATGCCTATGAGAAACCTGTTTATTGCTCAGTTTTTGTTCTTGCCTAATATAGTGTATAAACAAGTTACTATTTTCCATTACTTGGGTGAATTTCTGTGCTTATTATACCCCTTTAACTATTGTTTATGTTTAATCTGTAGGTGTGTAGCGTTTTGTTTTTCCGCATTTGGTGCTGTTTTCCGTCCCATTTTGGCGGCTCCAAGTTTGATCTGGACTCTTTATTTATGAGTATGTAAAGGTGTGTGGACCTACTCTGGTCCCAAGGGTAGAAGTATGAGAAGATAGACTTTCCAACCCTGCCTCCTGTTTCATATTCTCCAGTTCTTTCTCTCCTACCTTTTGTGTTGTAGCTTGTTAGTCAGTTTTTCTGTCACTGTAACAAATACTTGAAATAAATAACTTATTAAAGACAAAAGAGTCTGCGTGTGATCAATTGACCCTCTTGCTTTGAGCCTTGATGGACCCAAAGTGTTCATGGCACAAAAATGTGGGCAAAACAAAACTGCTTGACCTTATGGCCTGAAGTAAAATGGAAGAAGTTTAGGGCTGGGATCCTACAAATTCCCTTTGGAGTATGACTCAGGACCTCCCGCTTGTACCCTTCCCTCCAAACATTGGGAACCAAGCCTTTATTGTAATGACATGGGTAAATCAGTAACTTGATTGATTTACTTTCTTGCGTTTATCTTCTTTTCAACAATAAGCTATGCATGTCTGTCTTCTTTTTTTTTTTTTTTCGGTTGCTAGGGACTGACTCAGGGCCTGCCTTGCCCAGGCAAAGCGCTCATCACTGAGCTGATCCCCCAACCCCCATGTCTGTCTTCTTATACCTCCCTTCTTCTTTATTTAAGGGACAGAATTCTATTTGATATCTTTTTTGGCTCTGCATTTTCACTTGACAGTATGTTATGGAAACAGTTCATATCAGTTTCTTAGAGATCCTTCTTCTCCCTTCTATAGCTGTTATAGTATTTCATTACATGGTTATACTCAAAGAAAATGCATATTTTATGTTTGAATGGTATTACAGAGGAAATTAGTTTAAGTAAAATTGTATTGAATCTCGAGAAGCAAAGGGACCGTAAGTGAAATAGGATTTCTAGACTGACTAAGAAATGGTGAAATGTTGTTACCTGTGGGCACGGTGATAAGTTATATGTATTCTTTGCTATACCTAGAGAACCACTATGAAAACTAACAAAGCAATATACTCCAAAACTCTAGAGTAAATCAAGATTTGGATTCTTTGGATGGATTGGAGGTTTGAGGTCAAATCTAAATAGCCTACAAGAAGGCAGTAGAAACAAGGAAACTGAGAAATTAAAATTTTAAAACAGTTTTTGCCTTAATCCAGTGGGACACAATTAGAAGGTTGTGCATCTGCTCAGGATCTTTTTTCTTCTCTGTTTTCATTGTCGAAAGGAGGGTAATAATAATAACTTTAAAACAAAACCATTGCTCTATAAACATTCTGTGCATAGGTACTTCTTCATTGTTTGTTTGTACCTGCTTGAATATGGGAAGTGCGTCCCAGTTATTGGTAGTTAAGAAATGAATTTCTAAGCCATAGTTCATCTACTCCCTCCACACGGCAGAAGCTTCTCCTTGCTCACCCCCTGTTCTTCAAATGGTGCTGAGCCAGGTGCGATCAGCTACTCTTCAACAGAAAATGATGTCCCAAAATGCTTCAAATGGGCAAACAAAACCTACAGGCAGTCCTACAGGCTTTGCTTGATAATGACAACTTTGTTCTTCTTGCTTAGTACCATTGCTTGAAATGCATTATCCCTTTCAGCAAGAGCAACTTTAAACAGCCACACAGCTATATGCTATGATTCTTGTGTTGTATTTCCTTCATTGGTTTTTATTTATTTATGCTTTAAAATTAAAATAAATTGTTAGGCAACGTGCTTTACCACTGAGTTACTCTAGTCTCCTCCAATGTTTTTTATTTTTATAAGGATAGGCAAAATGAAGATTTTAAGTGAAATTTGGGCATAAATTTTGTTTTCTTCTAATTCCAAGACTGGTGTATTTTCTATACATCCCAGAAATTCCCCACACCCTAGATACTTTTCTTCAAACCTCCACTCAGAAGCACCACTGTTAGGGTTTTTCTGGGCAATGTAAATTGCTTTTGCTATTCTAGGAACTTTATATATTTGGATCATTTGTATGATTTTTTGCTTCTGTGCATCTGGCTTCTTTTACTAACACTCAATTTTGAGATTCATCCATTGAATATTCTGTGTATTTATCGTTTTTCATTTTGATAGTAGTTTCACTGCTAAATATACAAGTTTATTATTTCATTATCTGTAGAGCATGTGAGTTTCTTTTAGAGAACATTATAATTTAAAGCTATTATGAGTAATTGCAATAAAAAAAGTTCAAAGAAGGAAATAAAGAAAAAGCAGAAAATTAATGGGAAACAACATTAGAGTGCTAATTAAACAGTCTGGTTTTTGTTTTCTTTTTTAAAATTCTAATACTTAATTTAAAAAAATACATAACAACCATTCAGACTTATTTAAGGATATAAGGTTGTTCGCGGTTACAGACTCTTAATATCACATGCCGGTTAAAAAATATTAAGGAAAGATCATTAACTGCCAAGCTGGGGATTTATGATTTGAAATTCTGTTAATCTTTTCCTTTTCTAAGCCTTCATAGTCATTTTCAGATTGGTAAGCTTCAGTTCCTACTATTTTTGGCTTTCCCTGAACCATAGTTTGCTTCTTCTAGGAGACCATTTGACAGTGTTTGAGACATTTTGTTGTCAGATGATATATGTGAGTGCTACTGGCAGAGGCAGGATGCTGAATATCCCTACAGTTGCACAGGACATTCCTGGCAACATTATTCATGTTCAAAATGTCATAAGTTGGAATTGATAAACCCTAAAACCTATCTATTTACTAATATCTGTGCAGAGAATTAATTGGGACCTAGGGTTTCTATATAATTATTAATATATTATTATTTCCAGTTTAAGGTAGAGAGGAAAGATTAATTAAAGAAAATTAAGGGCTGGGGAAGCATGGACTTAGTGGAGAGCGCCTGCCTAGCAACAAACCCCAGTTACTGCCTAACAACTAAATAAAATAAAAAGAAGAATCAGTTTTCTGGTAATAGACAATAATGGAATGATTTTGTTATTGCATAGCATTAAAGTTGGTATACCAGACTGTTCATAGACTCTTTGATTGGTCTTAGTACCTTTATGAGATAAATGCCAGTAGGGATTGTCCCTATTTAACGATAAGCGAAGTTACTTGTTTTCCTATTGGTTTCAGGCGAATTTAAGTCACCTTGGGTTGGATGGATTTTGGAATGAGCATCTTGTTCATCTGTTAAGAATTAAGATTAACTGCCTTCTTTTCCAAGGCTTATTTTAGTTCAGTTAAATACTTAGAAGGGATAGGTTCTGGGTCATTAGAAAATCAATGCTTCATCTATGTTTTCTTTTGAATTGGAATCTGATAACTTACTTCAAGTTGTAGGCATGTAGTAGTGCGTTCCAGTAGATCTTTCTGTGGCAGTGTCATGCTCTGTTAATCTTTGCTTTTTTATATGGTAGCTTACTAGCCAACATCTGGCTTTTTTAAATCTACAAACAATGAAGATTAAATACAGGCTAAGATTTTCATTTCTCCGGATCATTGTTAGCCATTTTCACATTGTGTAGGAACTTTCTTAAATGAATGTTTCTCATTAGTTGTTTCCAAAGAGATCTTAATAACTCAACATTATGGTTACTTTTTTTTTTTTAAATAAAAGATGTTCTGAGCCGTCTTACCTTCTGCCTGTTACTGAGTCCTGTAGGGAAAGGAAGACTTTGCTTTTTAAACTTGGTAACAAGTGAATGAATGCACCCAAGCTAATATCCCTCAGCCAGTTTGTCTCTGCAACACGGTGTCCATTTGCTGGTGTGATTTCTGTTGATACGCACACTGATGAACCCATAAGTATAGACACTCTGCTCCCTGGAGGAGGCACATCCTGTGGTGTGTTATAAATGCTGCTGTTGCAAAATGGGAGCTTTGTGTCAGCTCCATCTCATCGTAGACTTCGGCTTCCACTGACATTGAAGCTGCCTCCTTAGGAACCCTGCAGAGAGAGAGACTTAGAAATCTTACTGTAGTATTTTTATGGGAAAGTGATTTTCAGCTTACCTGAAAATTTGGGAATCATTTGTATACTGGAGCCCATCTTTGTGTAAAAAATTTAAATTTCTTAGGTCTTAACTTTCAAGTAAATTTATTTCTTGTATGTTAAGGGAGAAGAAAAATACTTATTGGCCAGAAACTGCATATTCCGAAGAAATGTCAGACGATATTCATTTTAGCTTTAGCAGTTACACTTTCTGCTGTCATAATGTACCAGGAAGAAAAGGCTCATTTTACTTTGATGATTTAGAGAGGCTTTACATTGAGTATTTCATTAAGTACTTTCCTTATGCTTTTAATTCCCCCTTTGCTTAATATCTTTTTATCACAGTCTTGACTACAGTTTATCCTTGTGGTTTAATTAATTTTACTTTACTACCAAATGGTAAAATAAAAGCATTTGAGTTACAAATTTGTATGTTGAAGTATGTCATGAAACAAAAAACACTAAATTGGCAATCAGGTATGGAATTTGCAGTATATCCTATGTGTATCACAGATTTAGTTATGTGCTTCCTCCCCTACCCTTCCAACAGTACTTTGCTTTGCAAGGCAGTTAAGTGTATTACTAATGTACTTTCTGTTTTTTTCCCCCGCAGAGGGAAGTGTAACATCTCTCATTTTTCTGACATATTTGCTGCTAGAGAGTTTAAAGCCCGAGTGGACTCATTTTTCTACATATTAGGCTACAACCCTGAGACAAGGTAAGTAAATCATTGTGCCCACTCAGTGAGAACTTTCCCCATTTTCTCACTTGTGTGTATACTTGCATGTTTATACTTCTGCACATGAACTAGAAAGATAACACCCCAAAAAGCCTCCAAAATACTATAGTAAACCTCTTTGGGGATGAGTTGTAGCTAATGTCTTTGGCATCTAAAGCAGCTTGTTGTTCGCGCTTGGCTTTTGTTAAGGTACAAAAATTTAGGGGTAGAGAGGTGTGATAAAAACATAATGTTAATTGCTCTGTGTTTTATATCTCAGATGCATGTTTTGTCAAGCTTTCCATGACACCATGTAGAAAAGAGATGAGTCATTTTGAAATACTTTCTTTGCTCATTTATTTTGTTTATTCTTGATAATGAAATACCAGGAATAGTCACTGAAATATCTTTAGTACAACTACCAATATGAGACAGACACAGTCCATTCTCAGCCATCTTGGTAAGATCCACGTAATAGTTAGAATTATTATTTAAATGAAAAGCAATAGCATCAAAATAACAAAGAAATCATTTATGATTGAAATAAGGCCGTATTTTAACTTAGCACCTGGGAGAATTTCTATAAGAAGAGTATTTGGCTTGAATAAATCAGGTGATTTATTTTTTAATCACGTTTGATTAAAGATTGAAAAACAGACTGGGCACCAGTGACTCATGCCTATAGCTCACACCTGTGATCCTAGCTACTCAGGAGGCAGACATCAGGAGGCATTCTCAGTTTTCATCAGTTCGAAGCCAGCCCAGGCAAATACTTCTCCAGACCCTATCTCAAAAAAAAAAGAAAAAAAAAAAAAAAAAACCATCACAAAAAAAGGCTGGTGGAGTCCCTGAGTTCAAACCCCAGTGCTGCCAAAAAAAAAGAAGAAGAATTCTTGCAGGACTCTGGCTCAGTGGTTTTGATCTCTAGCCCCACCCCTCAAAAATTGTATCTTGAAATGTTTCTTTTATCTATACATTTCTGTTGGCCAGGTAGTGTGGAATTTCACACTTGGATTTCTATGAGACAGATTGAATGTTATTTTTGGGATACTTTGTTTATTTTATTGTTATTTGTTTATTATTTTTATACCATGTGATGAAGAGTTATTGCACAAGTTAGATTCTATTATTGAAATGAATAAAGGAGATTTTAAGTATTCAGCTGTTAGCATAACAACCAACAGAATTTTTTTTTTTACTAGTTTAAGTTAATGAAGGCTTGTTAAGAGGAACATGTAACTTATCTCTGTAAGCTAGTCACACACACAGCTTCCTGCCTAATTTTTCATTGTGTGTTGCTGACGGTCATTCAATGTGATACTTCCCATCGGGTTTTTTTTTTTTTCTTCTTCTTTTTTAAGGTTCTGGGGGATCTAATCCAGGGCCTGATACATGTTAGGCACGTTCTCTTCCGTTGAACTGTGCTCTAGTTCTCAGTTTTGTTTTAAAATGTGGATTAAGTTAATAGTAGAAGGGTATTATTTGTCTCCATTGATGAAAAAGAAACAGAACTTTTATAGGTTCTGCATCCTGAATCACTTCTTTTGTTATTTTGCAATTCTGGTAGTACTGGGGTTTGAATTCAACCTTGCGCTCGATAGGCAGGTACACTTCCTGGTGTTTTGCACTTTCTATAGTTTACTCACTTCTACACTTGTGTTCCCTACATCCACCTGTGCTTGCTATATTTTAAATGCTCAAGAGGTTTAGATGAATTAAATAAATATTTGAAAGTAAGTAAAAGTTTGAAGTAGCACTCAAACTCGTCACAGTTAGAGTGTAACACCCTTGCAGAAATTTGTAGTTAATGGAGCCAGTGTGGCCCATGGCCTTGACTTGCCCTGAACACCACTTTATAGGTGAAGTCAAAGATGGGTGTGCAGTTCCACGGATGCTCAAATGATCACAAATAAAATGTGTGTGATTTAAGAGAATATAGAGAGACTGGGTGCATTTCCTCTACCTGGCTTATGTGTAAGCCAATTCTTAGAATGCCCAGATGCATACCCTTGCAGGATTTACCTGTTTGTCTTTGTTTCATCTTTGTAAAGAATGAGGCTTATGTGATGAGCTGTTCTCTGGTATAGATTTTCCCACTTGAATGAGTGGAACTAAAATGTAGTCATGGGTACATTGTGCAGTATGCCAAATCTTGGTACTGAGTCATTTAGGTAAATATAAGTTGATGTAGGGAGGAAATGGCAAGCTGTTTTTCTATTTGTGTAATCTGTCCTGTGAGATGGGGCATCTATTAATTAGTAAGACCACTGGAAGTTAAGGGCAGGGTTTCTGTGTCTGAAAACTTTGACAGCTGTTAATTCCTCTTAATAATGTAGGAATTTCACACTGAATGAGCAGTTGAAACTGACCTGAAGGTAGAATTGCTGGTTTCTCAGAAGGAAATTTTTGATGTAGTTAAAAAGTTTATCTATGTAATTCTCCATGCTTTATTTAGCATATTGGTTAGCATTGAAAATTTGAAATTTTTTTTACATTTATTTACATTGGTACCTTAATATCTCATTGCTCCTATGCTTTATTTTTCCTGTAGCCTAGTCCTTACATTTCTGATGTGTCTTTTCTGAGCTTTTTGGTCTTGATGCTTTTACTGTCTTTTGGACTAATGTGTGATAGTGGCTATTGTGTACTCTTTATTTCTTGCCTTCAAAATTTGGGGAAAGGGAATTTCTTGATAAGTATCAGGAATTACTTGGGTATTGTTAGGTATAAATTTTATTTCATTCATTTTTAACCGGAATACTGGTTATTAGTACTAATATAGAATCTATGAAAGCACAGACCCATAATCTTCCAAAATCTGAAAATTTGGAAAATCTGAACATTTATATGCTTAATTTGGTGGCCAAACCTCACCTGAACTGAGCTGGGGCTATCTTACTTTTAATTTAGTGTATTTTGTGAGAATTTGCACAAATCTTACTGTAAAAATACAAATGTGGTAGGATATGAGTTATCACTCAGATAACTGGTGGGGTGTTAGATACAATATGATATATTTTACTATAGTAGTAAAATCTAAACTCTTTTGAATTCTGAAAAATCTCTTACTCTGAGGATCTTAGGTAAGGAATTGCAACTCTATATTAGTGCTACTCTTGACATTTAAGGAACAAAATTTTAATGGGCAGAAATTTTGGGGGCAGATGTTTCTGTCCCAGCAAGATACAAACTACAATAGACTGACAAATCAGAGAGCCTTGTCCAGCTATGACCTAGCTTTGAGTCCTTAGACAATTTGGCTTTGCTCTCCAAGGTTGTTTTTGACGTTTCTGCATGCAGGGAGTGTTCACTTTTGCTTATGTGAACAAGATTCATCCCAAATTTATTTCTGTGGTCAGCATACTCTGCAAGATAATATCATTGTGCTCTCATTTTGTTTGAAGAGCATGATCTAAAATCTGCTTAGAACTTAGTCAAATAATAAATCTCAGCTCAGAGTTCTTAATAAATAATGCCAGTTAGACCTTATGAACAGTTGATCTTAGTTTGTAAAAAAGAGATGAGAATAGGGTCACGATTATGGTTCTCTTTATTATCCTTAGTGGTTTTTTCATTTGTCTAGAACCTATAGCCATTTTATCTGTTTGTTCCTTGACTTAAGAGCAGCCTCCTAGAATGATCTCTCCTCGTGGATCTGGAGTACCTGGGTTCTAAACCCATGTAACCACTTTACCTTTGTGTCCCTGGGTAAGGCATGCAATTCATGGACTCTGTTTCCATATGAATAAAGTGGGAATGGCAAAAGTTACTCTGCAAGTAACTTTTGTAAACTTGTTTTGGTTACTTCATGGTAATTGCAGAAGTAATATTTTTCTTTTTTTAAAGATAAGATTGAAAAAATTAAAATCCTGTAAAGTATTAAGTACAAAAGCAAAACATATGGTACTTCTTAGGACATAATGATTCTATCAGGTAGGCAGTTAATTGACTGCTGACAAAGAGTTCTGAGTACTGTGGATTTTTGGCTCTGCCTGGAATAGCAATTACAGAATTTCTTGCAAATATGCAACATTACAAAGAACATAAGATTAATTTCTTTACTGACCATAATGAAATTCACTCAACAATATTTAATGAATAGATAATTGGAGTAATGTGAAATAATACTTTCTTGTGCTTATAATATTTTAATGAAAAATCTGAGAGATCCCAAAATGAAAAAAAATTATTGAGTAATGGATTCCATTTTTTATAGTAAATGAACCTATCCTATATAGCATGTTTTGCTGAAACCTTGGTTGTCCTTTTCCCATCTTCCCATTGCCTCCCCTCCAAGCATTCAGTATTCAGTCAAGGATCAGTGACCCCCACCCCCCCGCCTCCTTTTTCTTATTCTTTCTAACTTTTCCTCTCTACCCCCCATCCCCGTTTTTGTTTTTGTTTTTGTTTTCCTTTTCCTTTTGTTAGCAGTGCCTCACGATGTAGGCTAGGCAGGCCTTGAGCTTTCGATCCTCTGCTTCATCCTCCTGAGTGCTGGGATTACAGGCTTGTACTGCCATGCCTAGCCAGTGCCTTCTTTACTAAGTTCTGGCCCCTCCGAGTCTCTGTCTTCCATTCCTGGGAAAGGGTCTCCTTGCCTTCCTGCCTCAGGCCATTGATTTTGGAGGGGAAAGAAGGAGTAGTAAATGAAGTCCTAATAAGAACAAAAGATTAGAAATAATGACTTTTTCCTTTTAATGAGCAAGTATGAATTTTCCCAGGGAGTTGTTCCTTTGTTTCCCCTTGCCAAATAAGGAGCTACATTATCAAGAAGGGAAGGTGGCAGGGAGAGATTGTGTGATCTTATTTCCCTCTGTTATTATTACTGCTGTTTTGAAGATCTTAGACTCAGAGAAGTATAGTCACTTGCTTACAACCACACAGCCAGCAGAGGCTAAGGCTAGAGCTCAAACTCCACCAAGTTCAGAGCATAAGCTTTTTTACTTGCTATTACATAAATATACAAGATAACCAAAAAATCAAATTCTGAACATTTTAAC